TAAGTGCGATATATCATGTTATATCATATAGCATAAAAAAAATTACGCTGCTTGCTTATTAAGTTAAAATTTATATGAAATATATACAATATTTCCTGAGATGCTGATGTCAAATATCGGTAAATACATACCACTTTATTTTCCAAGTTATATTCCTTAAGTACAAAACATCAATAGGTCAATACTTCCATTTTAACCGATACAAGTGGCCGATAAACAAAATAATCTTATTTTTTAAGTCAGGAATTTATAAAAAAATTGTCTAAACAGGCAAAAAGAATGCACAATATTTCACTCTTAAATAATAACCATCATAAAACTGATACTAATAATAAGGAAAACGTTGTTAATTCTCTTCTAAAATTTTGTTGCAAAATTAACTTTATGATTATGAATAACAAACCAGCAGGGAAATAAATTAGACTGCAAGCTTTATTAAATTTAAAAAATTTTTTTGAATATTTAAATCAATTTTCTTTTTGTTTGTAATTTAAATTTTATTAGTCTCTTATTTTTAACTTAAAACATTTTTAATTTCTCTATTTTAAAATATTTTATATATAAATTATAATTGCTGAATTCTATTTAAACTGATTTTATATACCAAGTTAATCATGAAATAAATTTTTTAATATAATAAATTCTTATAAAAAAATCATTTTAATTTAGTATTGTTTAAGTTTATGAAATAATCTCTATAATCACTTCAATTTAAATAAACACCATTATTGTGATAAAAAAATTAAATCATATAGACACCTAAATAATCTATTGTTCGTTCCAGTAGTTACAAACTCCTGTGGATCATTTGGACCCAGGGTTGCCCTCCCCCATCAGCGGGAGACTCCCGCAATTTTTTAGTTTACACGCAGACATCTATCTCCCAAACTATCTCAAGTAGAAATCTCCCGCAAAAATCTACCGCAACTTTTTAATTTCGCCCTTTTTTTTAGTATTTTAACGTTTTTATATAAATAAAATTTTGAAATAAATTTTAAATATTTATTCGAAAAACATGTCTAGTTTGTAAATTTCTTTCTATCCTGTTTTATTTTTATCCAATAATAAATAAACATCATTTCATTCATATACAGGGGAGTGTATCAACATCGATTGCAATACAAAAATATTCTCAAAAATAATAAATAATACAGATGCTACAGTTGCGGAAATCGTATACACCTATCATGTAGTTCAACATTCACAGAATAAGGGAAATTTTAAAACATTTCCCTTGATCCTTCGCTATTTCAACAAGAATAAGAACATTTCAATAAAACAAACTTTTTTCCTCGGATAGTGAAAAATCCAACGATGTAGCTAACCACATAATGGTAAATATAGCTGATTCAGGGTTATCAATGATTTGCATGTCAGCTTTCTGCGCTGATAATGCCTCTGTAAATTTTGGCCAAAACATGAATTAATACCAATTGGCTGTATATGCCATATACTACATTATTCTTGCAAGAAGGCAATGAATGTACTATCTGTCGGATGTCGAAATAATTGTGATAAAATGTTTTAACGAATTTAGTTCATCAACTAAAAGAGTTAATGAATTAAAAGAGTTGGTGAAGTGGTCTGACTTGGAATGGTGTGAGTTGTTGCGATATGTACCTATCAGGCGGTTATCATTAATACCTGCCATCGATAGAATTAAAATTTTACGAACCCTTAAAAAAATATTTCCTAAATAAAAATTTTAAAAGCTGTCCTAAAATTTTTAAAAAATTGATGAAATGTCAAAAGCTTATTTGGGATAAGTTTCATATGTAGGAAATCTACTTCATGCAGTTAATATTCAGTTGCAATCAGAATATTCTATATTAAAAAAGATTCACAAAATCACGCTACAGCTCTGTTCATCTCTACAATTAAAAATTGATAATAAATTTTATGGCGCTATTGCTAAAAATATTATATTAAAATGTGCAAATAATACTTTAATTAATATATTTTTAAATGAAGCAGATATTTTTATTAAGACAATTTCAGAATATTTACAATCAAAATTTGATTTTAATAACTCTATTTACAAATGTATAAATATTATGACCTTGGGACAGAAACCATCAATTGATGGTTTTTATAATTTAATAAATATGTTAAAAATACCGATAGACATTGATGTCTTATTTGAGGAGATTGTAATTCTCTTTATTTTTTATGATTCGCCAAAATACTTAAAGTTAGATGGTCTAGAAGCAAAGGAGAAATGGGTAGAATTCTCTCGTAATAACGATAAATCCCCATGCTTGGGAAAAATATGCGAGTATGCCTTCTCCTTACCTCATTCTAATGCCTCATCCAAGCGCATTTTTAGCCTGATGAGGACTGCCTGGAAAAAGGAGAGAAATCGGGTTGATTTAACAACATTAGAGGCCGAGCTAAGGTTAAACAAATATATAATATGTCATGCCAGGAATTTTATAAATATTTCAATAAAGACGGTAAATATTTAGTTCTATTATTTTAATCTCAAATAAAATATAATTAAATTTTAGCAATGGCACCATAAAATTTATTGTCAATTTTTAACTGTAAAGATGAACACATCTGCAGCATAATTTTGTGAATCTTTGTTAAGATTCATGCAATTACACATTAACAGCATGTAGTAGATTTTCTACATGTGAAATCATTACTAAATATACCTCTGCCATTCATTATTGAAAAAAATTTTCAATAGGACAGCCACAGCCTTTATAATCTTTATTTAAGAAATATTTTTTTAAAGGTTTATAAAATTTTAAAATTCTATCGATGGCGGGTATTAGTAACATATCGCAACCAACATTGTGGTGACTTAATTCTGTAAATACTTCTGTTTTTACCAAATTCACTGAGGCATTATCAGATCAGAAAGCTGACATGCAATTTATTGATAATCTCGAATCTGCTATATTTACGATTATGGTTTGCTATGTCTTTAGATTTTTAACTATTTTGAGGGGAAAAAAATTAATAGTTTTATTGAAACGACCTTAATTTTGTTGAAATAGCGGAGGACTTATTAGATACATCTGTTAGAATTGCATATGTATGCCCATCTTTCAAATCGTCAAGAATTGACCTCCTGGATTTAGGTCCTAAAATATTGATGAATAGCCTTGCTCATTTTTGTTCTACAAGTATAGTTTTCATTTATATTAGAGTCGTTAAATATTATGGGGAAAAGATTCTACCAACATTGTAATGTGATAAGTATCTCTGTGAATGTTGTACTACAAGATAAGTGATTACAATTGCCGCAACTGTAGTTGCATCTGTATTGTTTCCTATTTTTGGAGTACCTTATTATGTATTTAAATGTGATAAGTGATAATTAAGCGCTTATCCTTATAATGTTATACACACACGGTAGATTTCCCGCATAAAATATATTTTTAATTGTAAAATTAAAATCGTTTTTTTTTTATAAAATTTTATCTTGTTTATATTATATTTAAAAAAGATCTTTGGTTTTTATTTTATAAATTATTATATTAAGATCGTTGGTTTTTGGTTAATGATGCTTACTACCAAGTGAATGTATGGAAATATTCTAAATACTAACATAATTTGCTAAATACCGACCAAAATTTATTAAAATGTAATAAGACTTATTATTTAATATATTAATATGGAATCACGTGGTCGAGTCCGGCCTCCTATATATCATACTCCCAAGGATGAAACCACCAAGTTTGAATAAGAAAAAAAATATAATTATTATCGGGATTCGAACCCGTGACCATGGGATGAGTAAGCGAAGCTGTAACCGACTAGGCCATAGTGGCTTTCCAAAAATTACGATTTTTCAAATATATATTATAAATATATTTGGTAGTTCCTATCCAAATGAAAAATAACAAAATTCAAATTTGATAGATAACCTTGGTTTTTTTTATAAATTATTATATTTTAATAAATCAAGATGTTATTTTATTTTGAAAAATAGTTACTGACTTTGTATTTATATAAATTAATTAAAAAAATAATAGGCGGATAATTAAGTCAATTCAAAATCTCGGCCGAAGGCCGGCACGGCCCGCAAAAAAAGTTTTTTTAGCAATTTTTATATTTATACCGCAATTTTCATATTTCTACCGCATAATACCAAATTTCTCCCGCAATTTGAAAATTTTGACCTGGCAACTCTGTTTGGACCTCAAGCCTTTAAATTATCAAAACATTCTGGGAAACCAATGGTTATATTGGCCTTAATTAAAATGCTAAAATCAAGATCAAACTATAAAACTTTAATTTGGGTGCAATTTATTTTCAAACTTAACCTTGTAGTCTGTTAATTTTATGTTTATTATTTAGAAATCAAACAAAAAAATATTTTCGAGTAAATTATGTTTATTCTAATGGTACATACAAATTCTTTTCATTATTGCAAACATATTATTTAAAATGGAAATGAATGAACAGATAAATTTTTTAAACTATTCGAATGTCCTTAATTTCAAATTAATATTCGTGAATATTACTCGAATAAATAACATATTCGATTCGAATAGTAAAAATGGAGCATTAATTATTTGTAATTTACAAAGAAAAAATTATTTTAATTTAAAAAAGGATGTTATATTTGAGATATGAACATATTCCAAAATGGTATAAATACTTCTTTTAAAATATTATATCGGATACATAACATTCGAAAGGTATGTTTTGAAACGACTCGAAGTTTACTAATGAATAATGGTGACATCTTTAATTAGGCTAATAGCTTAAACAAACATTTTGCATAAAATAGACGTCATTTAGCTTTGGCGTGGATAATAGAAAGTGGTGTATTTCATAAAAGAAATAAAACTTGATTATATATTTTTTTAAAGGGAAAATCAGGGACTAATATTAATATTGTTTATTATATTTATTAAAATTTAATATTTTAAACTATAAAATTTATTACCAAAAATATAAATCTAAATATATATTCCTTTTTAGATTGCATATATTCATACCACATAAAATTTTCAAAATTGTTTATTCTTATGTATATATCACAATGTTTACAATTATATAAATAAATAAAAAACATCACCATACGTTGATCTAAGGAAATTCAAAAAAAAATTATCTACAAAAATAACTCGTTCAATAATTCCTTCAACCCTTGCGTTTCAATATAATTTCCCCCAATGGTCGAAGCGGTAGTCTTAAGTTTTTTCTTACTTTTCTTTTTGATATTCGTCTCTGGAACGTTCAATTTATAAGTAACGTAGGCAAGTTTCTCAATCAATAAATCTTCAAAATTCGTTCTCGAAGGTGTAAAATCATCGTAATTTTCTACTGATATATTGACTGGGACGGAGTAATAATTTTTTTCCTGCATTTCAAAGTCTTTGGGGGCGAATTTATATTGATCAGAGTGGTTTGCGTGATTACTTTATATATATATATTAATTTATTTGTTAACAAAGTCAAACTTTTGGAAGGGTGTCCTTGATATCGATCAATTAAAAAATGATTCTATCATTTAGATTTACCCCACTTGCCCGAATTTTAAATTAAACATCGATCATCTTAAAAAGCGAAACATAACAATCTAGTATAGAAATAAGAGTGCAACACAAGGAAAAAGTCAACGATATATAAAAAAATCAGCATTAATGTCAATATGTGAGATATAGGAGCATTCCGAAAACACAATTTAGAAAAATGTTGCAAGTGCAACAAAGAAAATAAATCAATAATATCAACATCGTATAAATAAATAATCTTTTCTTGTAGTATATTTATTGTTTTTACCCACCTTCCCTCCAAAGATAGTTTTTGAATCTTGAGGGGACTTGATTAACTCTTTGCAAATTCATTATTTCTTATGTTATTGCTTTGCTCTCATGATAAATATTTCTACTCTTTTCTTTGCTCACTCATAAAATACTAGAAAAAAAATTCTCGAACGCTAATTGCATTAGTGGGATGTCAATTTATAACATTGTGTATTTACTAATCATTCCCTCCTTCACTTGATCCAATTATTTATTAAGACCAAATGTTTATAACGTATGAATACGAATCTCCTCCTTTCTTATTTCTACTTCTATTTTATTCATAACTTAGTCTAATAATCAGAGTTGGGCAGTACCAGGAATACTTGTATCTTGGATATGAGATACTAGTATTTTGTACTTTGAATCCTTTTGAAATTTTTAATAAGACTATTCTTAAAAGAATCTTATCTATTTCATTTGCTTGACAAAAGAGACAGATATCTATTTTTTTATATTTGCTAAAAAATTTATATATACTTTACATTATCTTTTTGTGTATTCTTATATTAATTTTGTTTTTCATTCCTTTTCCTAACTTTATATTTTAAAATTACATTATTATTATATATTTAACATATTAACTTTATTGCGCATTTATAATATTTTTAACGTGCATTATAGTTTTATATTAAAAAAATAAAATGATAAAAATAATATTAAGGTGTATGATGATAATAATAAGCTTTTCTATTCACTAGGGATTATATCCATCTTCCCTCTTTAAATTGTTGTTATTTCTAGATATCTCAAAGCTTTTAATTAGTTTTTAAAGGAAATTCTACTTTGTCAAGGAAAATACAATTATTAAAACTAATAAGATAATATGAAAAATCTTTATATGCTTTGCAAGGGTAGGGGCTTGAATATTGTTTTAATAATTTTAGAATTTCTAATTCTTCCATTTGTCTAAATATTAATTAATTTTTTATTTAAATGAAAAAGATAAATATGTTATTGAAATGTTGGAATTAATAAATTAGTTTTTCCTTGAAGTTTTGTGTATACTTTAGGGGTAATCGACACTAAAATCATATAAAACATTATGAATTTCCACTGGAGAAATAAACCTCAGAATTTGATGCAAATTTGTCTTTCAAGTTGGTGAAACAACAACAGATTATATACGGTATCTTTCTATTTACTTCTGTTGGTTATTTATACTTCTTTCCATTCTTATTGTTACACAAAATTCCATAATAGCTGTTGGGAGGGAAAGCGATGATATTCGCAATAAGTTAAAAAATAGTTCTTGATCAACTTTTTCATAAAAAATATTTTAACTTAGATACTCTAGCAAAAATATAAGTGTTTTATATCTTTGGATATTTTAAAAAGATACCTGTATCTAAAATACATATTTATTAATAAAGGATCTTTATCTGGATCATTTTTAAAGGACCTGCCCAACTTTGCTAAAACTATAAAAAGTATTTTTTTTAAATACTTTTTTTGCACCCACTTAAATAATTAGCATACTTACATTATATTCAACGATTAAAAAACAAATATCTTTTTTTCCTTAAAAGCTTTTTCAGTCTAAAAAATGTAACCTTTATAATATAAACTCAGAGACCTGGTGAGGTCAACATTTTATGCCGGGCCGAATTAAATAAAAACATTTCCATTTGCCTGGTTTGGCATTTTTTTTGGCTTGGCAGGATTTTTTAAAATCATTTTTCAAACTAGCCCAATTGTAAAATTTTGCTTTTTTGAATAATTTTGGATGTATTTCACAATAGTTTCAACAGGAAACTGAAAATATGAACAGTAGATGAATAAATAACGCTTTATTATATCGTTTTTCAACTGATTAACATAATTATTTTTACAAATCGGTCCGGCCCAGATTTTTTATTTTTCGGCCGGAATTTTTAAACCCGTCCGATAATTAAATTATATTATTTTTTGACCAGTCCATTAGGATCTGTCCAGGATTTACAGGCCAAACCTACAGGTCTCTGATATAAATAATGTGAATAATTTTATTACGAAAATGGTGACAGAAAAGATTCCATGTAGTTTAGGCTAAATGAGTTTAACTCCGGGAAAACGTGTGCTGGGCAATTTTCGATCTTCAATAAAAATTATAAAAATTATAAAAATTAGGAAAAAAATAGGAAGATTTTAATATAATGTTTCATGATAATTATAGATACGTTTTGAAATATAGGGTTTATCATATTGTAATATATTTTGATCTCTCTTTATTTAGGCGTGATAAAGATTCAATTTGTTTAATTTTGACGTGAGCATCGCTATCGAAATCAATGTTATGTTTTAAAATATTATGATTGTATCTCTTGGTTTCCATTTTTTTTTTAAACTTGAACTAGTCACTTTAAAAAAAGAAAGATGCTTTAAACAACTTGTAAATTAGAAAATGAAATCGTTAAGCATCTTAAATGTGTGCATTAAAATTAATTAAAAAATTATAATCAAGTTAGGAGCCTGGATTAAAAAGGGTTCTGATTACAGTTAAAAAGATCCTTAAAAAGTGTGTTCTGGTTTTTAAATTTTACCGGTTTTCCTGGTTCCAAACTCTGATAACAATCAAAAATTTTGGAAAAAAATCATAAATATACTTTCTAAACTGACTCATGTAACATTTTAAACAAAATAGTATTTAAATTAATTGTACTTGTGTTAAACCCAGATCCGGAACTGGTTCATAAAAAAATATAAATGAGTTCTGGTTTTGGTTTCTGTTAAACTTTTTAAAAAGGGTTCTAGATCCTGGTTCCTAGATTAGTACCTGAGCTGGCTCCAAAGTCTAGTTATAACATGCTCAAAGTAGGGTTGAAAATCATAAATTTTTATAAAAAACAAAAAAATCGATTTTAAATTAAGTTTCATAATTTAAAAATATTATGTGTCCTGAAAAAAAAAACTTTGATTAATTGAACTAAACATCAGTTCGAAATCTATGATTAAACAATTGTCAGGATTGACTAAAAAAAATACTTTATCAAATTTAATTATAGATATTATAAAAATTTTTTTAATATCAAAATATTGATAATTATTTAAAATAAAGGAAAAAATGAAATAATTAGAGAAATTCTTTAATTTCAAATATATTAAATAAAATAATTTTTAGAGGAATTTATCATATTATAAAATTCATTTCAAGTTATAAAAATATTTTAAATACAATTTAACAATTTATTGTGCAAAACATAATAAAACAAGAAGATATAGTAATTGGGTGTTAAGAGAGTCACGCCTTATTATTTTTTTAGATAAATTATTTATTTTATTTAAATGAGCCCCCTCAATCCCAATATAAATTGAGACATTTGATCTAAAAACAAACAAATAAATATGTAAAAATGAATAAAAACCATTCCATTCATAATTTTAAGTCTTTCTTTGGCAGAATATGTCCTTCTGTCCGCATCCTCGTCGAAATCTATGCCTTTAATTTTATCGATTTCTCCATCCGTTTCCGACATTTGGTTTCGAAGTTTTAAGTTTTCGTAAAAAAAACTTCCGAATGGAGTCGTAGCGTTAAGAAGGTTCAAATCATCAATATCGTTAGTTTCTTCAAAATCGTCCGAAGCTCGAGTTTCGTTTAGGAGATCAAATTCTTTATGGTCGGGAGAGGTAGATTGTACATAGGCATCCATCGATAATAAATGCTTTTTTTAAAGTTTTTAATCAATACCTAAATGCTTGTCTTTTAAAATCAAGAAAAATGACCTTTTTGAAAAAAATATTTTGCACAAGTTGTCCAGCCCGGCCTAAAAAACTTTTGCCGGGCTTTGAGCTGCGCCATCTCTAACTCCATATTAATCCTAATGGAATGCAAATTATCAACCCACTTATGTTTTGGTACCGATATACTTCCTTATCTCCCCTTCCTATTAAATCCGGGAATCTTTATAAAAACCTGTTCCGAATTCATAAAAAACAGCTTGCGTTGGTGGAAATTGTCGGTAACAGGTAAATAGATGCTCGATATTATAAAACTGCAATTTATGATATCGGGTGTAATATTTTTTGAACAAGGACTTAAATTCAAGATTTGCATGAATTGTGGATTTAGGAGATCATTAAACATCAAGGCACTGGATCCTGTAAATTGTATTAATTCGAATTTATAGATTTATATTTTAAAATATTTAATCATGTCATATAATTATTATTAACCTCTTAAACATTATACGAAAAATAGGGCCAAAATTATTTAGAAACAAATTTTTAAAAATCCAGATCGGGCTTAATATGACTCAAATTTGAAATCCCAGGTCGAGCTTAAATATATAAAAGAGCCAGTCCGAAATCTAAAAAGTATATTAAGCTTTTTAATTATATAAATTTACCAAATTTTATCCTCTATCATTACCACTACCCTAAAGACTTTTTAAGAAGATTTATCATCTTTATTTTAAAAAATAAATTGGGAAAAATAAGCATTCAGACCGAAGTGATTTATAAGAGCTTACAACCTTAATTATTACCTTTGATAATAACTAGCTTACTCTACTCAGATACTCCGCGTTAACTACATTATTTTATCTTGCATTTATTATAAAAACATATTTACCACCCCCTCCCCCTCCCCTCCTTTTGAAATCGGAATATTTTCATAACAAAATACAATGACTAATCTTGCAGTGTAATAGGTGTTATGTTTCCCTCAATGTTGTTTAAGACATAAAAAACATTCAGAATTAAACTGGAAAAGGTCTTATGCGTTGAGTTTTTAATTACGAAATATCCTTAATCCAAATCAATGAATTGAAGCATCTTTTTTTAAAGATTTTACCATGATTGTAAGTATGAATAAAAACGGCCAATTCCCCTTTTCCGAAGTTACAACTTAAGCTTGTTATAATGCGCTCATTGCAAATTTTAGTGGTTAATTTTTCGCAATTTCCGTAATTTATCCCGCTTCCATCATTTAAAGTTGGATTGTCCGTAAAATCGACCTTCAAAATGGCCAGATCTAGGGTCCATATAAGTGAGGTTTCGTTAATGTCCCAGACAAATAGACGTTGGCATGTGGCCGATATTAAGAGAGAATGCGAATTGTAGTGACTTTGACCGAAACTCATATACCTTTGAGAAATAAATAAAACGATGTTAATATTTAAGTTATAATATATAGTTATAGGGCGGATATTCACGGTATCTGTCAGTGTCTTGACAAATGCTTTTATTTTTAGCCGATATCCGTCAAAAGGGTAGTATCGGTGTATCTCTGGTTGCAATAAATACATATTTTTTTAGTCAAGGTGTAACAAATAGATATTTAGAAAATGATAGGATATTACAGAAATAAAGTTTAGATGAGATAGGCCAATTCAATTCTATTTTTAATAATAATATAAGTAGACATGTGCGCCAACAGCATTATCGGGGACGGCATTTCTTTTTCTAAACGATCGGATTGCGGCAGCGAATCGATTTACACGCTGCCACAAAAATAGGCGGCGGCGTCAAATATTTTTTTAATTAAAATTATAAATTCATTGGAAACACTTTTAAAATAAAATTTATGCTTTATTATGTTTATAACTATAACTTAATGATTTTGTTAAGTTATAATTATTACGTATCAATATTATTTTATTATATATTTATAGGACATAATCATGATCTTTTAGAGTTCAGAGTGAACCCAGCTATGGAAATACGCTCACCGGGTGTGCTCATATATAGAAAGGATGAAGACACTATAAATGATAGTATCCCTCCTCTTAATAACACCATTTATCGGATTTCTGTCACACTTACCTTACCTATTTTAACTATAATGACAGGGATACTATATATATGTTTTCATTGAGAAATATATATCATCTAATCCACTCCGACTAAGTGTGGTTCTATCTGATAAATCTTTTGTATCTGAAATAATGTCATATTTCTTCATAATAAAAAGATTAAGCCTTAAAAATTTCAAATTGTGGGATGAGATCAGTTTTATTTAAATATTCTACTATAAAATAATTAGATATTTTAACAGTTAAAATAAGAATTAAGATTGCCCTATAAAAAATTATAATGATTTTACAAATAACCTTTAGAAAATCTTGCATTCCAGTATTATTTATAGAAAAGAATGTCATTAAATCCTTGCAACACATGAGAACATAATTCCTTACCAGAATCCATTTTTTATTGGGTCAGCTGTATCTTTTACAATGGGTTTGAAAAATAAAAATTTTGTTTAGTTTCTTCTTTACATGATAGTCATATTTTTCAAGTAAATGTTTTATTATGTTTGATGTGCTGATATTTTTTGAAAAAGATTTGATTGGATAAATAATTAAAAAATTCACAAATATCTTAAAAATAATCAAATAATTTACTCTGAAAATGAATAATTATTTTCATCCTCACCAACTTTATCAAGTGCTATTTGCAAGCATATATTACAAAAGACTTTATCTGTAGCAACACTGGTTCTTTTATTATTTATGTCAGTTTTTAATATTAAGGATCCAAAATGTTTCCAAGCAAAAGATTTTGCTTGCAAGGATATACTGTATTTTCTTACAGGGTATTACAATGCTGCATCTATTATAATTGTTTTAGTCCTACTATTTTTATATATGTTATAATGGCAATAAAATAAAATTCATTTATTAAAATTTCCTTTTATGATAAAAAATAAATTTTACATGATGAGTTGTAGATTGCATTAAGATAATATTGTATTACTCCTTATATAATAATTTATGGTCTTATCAAAAATATTTGAAGCATCAAAAATTAAAAGAATAAAATATATAATAATATTTCAATACCTTTTCTGTAAATTACTAGCCTTATCTTATCTTATCTAACATGTTGGTCACAGACCTGCCCAAAGTGAGCGAACGTGTATTATATGGATTGTTACAAATCAAATTTATAGCAAAAAATATTTATTAATTTTAAAAAAGATGGCATTATTTAATAATTGAAAAAATATTTAATATTATATTTCTTCTAATTACAATTCATAAATAATATTATTTTTAATAATAAAATATGTATCACGCCGCCACGCCGCCGAATTTTTACATGGGTAAAAGCGTGTTGAGCGCCGTCACTTTTTGGCGGCGTGTCAAAAATCACCAGCGGCGGCGTATTTGACCGGCAACGCACATGTCTAAATATAGGTAAGATGTCTGTATTGTTAGGGAATACTTAGTCCTGCTCCTGATAATCAACCTCTTAGAACTATGGTCTATCTGTTACTTAGATTACAAAAGCTTAGTCGCAAAATCTTTTCCTGATAACTACCTCCTATTGGCATAAGATTCAAAAAAACGGCCTCTCTTCAATTCCCTTTCTAATACCATCGATTTATCTGAACCCCAAGTATTTCAAGCATATATTATTGACCATAAATTAGGATTAATTACACTGTGTCACAAATTTCGACTTGATTTTTTGGGAGAAAATAAAATAAGCATGTTTTGAGACAGTTTTTTATGCATATTCTAAATCCGCTGTCAGTTTTCTAGCACATCAGGTTTTTTATTTATTTTAGGTTAATGGCCAAAAAGGTCATTTTTAGCACTTTTTGAAGGTTTATAACTTCGGTTCTAATGATCCCTTCAACTAAAAAAATATCTTAATTTTTGTAGCAAACCTTCCTTATTATTATTATACATTTTTTTTTATAAAATCCTTACTATATTTTTAAACAACATATTTTTTAAATTTACCTTTATTTATAAAATCTTTTTTAATATAGCTAACATTTAATATATTTATTTATTGTGGCTTTCGTTCTCTTCGCTACACTACGGTACGATTCCCAAACAATTTATTTTAAATTAAATAGTTATATTTCTCATATTTAAATAAATATATTATGCTAAGCTAACCTATCTCATATTTTACTTTCGTCAGGATTGAGATCATTTTGAGATCGCAGCATATCTTAAATTAGTAAATGGAATAATTTATTTTTGACAATAAATATTTCATATTTTCATATAATTCATTTAACTGGTTGGAATAGGCGATGGGAATTGATGGCTTAGAATTTCCGTTATGAAGCAAAACTGCTTTCAAGCTGTTTTTGCTTGAATCAATGAACAAGCGCCATTCATCGGGCACCAATTCAATATTTAGTTGTAAAAAAAGTTGACCTAGATTGTTGGAATAGTATAAAAAAATTTCGTAAGAGAATAAATTCTTAAACGATGCTCCACGGATTCGGTATGAAGTTCGAACTCCATTTTTTTAAATTTTAAAATCATTAAGCCTTGAGGCTAAATATTCGGACTTTCTTTTTGAAAGTTGTAAATTTCTGGTTATGTCATTTAGTTGCTCTTGTGACATAAATGGCGAATCCTCTTCGGAATTATACTCTAGATCAATATTGTCATTGTCCTGGCAACGTAATTTTTCCAGCTGCGAACTATTAAAAAAAGGAACTGTTGTATGCATATTATATTTTACCGGATAAACAACCGACGAAATTTCAGGATAACGAATTTTCTTTTTATTTTTTTTGTTAAACCCAAATGTACTAATCGAGCAAAAATAACAATCCCACGAATGATTTCTTGCTACGTGCCAAAATGCAGGTTTCGAATAAGGCAAATATGACCGTTTTCCATTTACCCATGAATTAAAAGAATTATAACATGTTTTACATATGTAATTAGGGGCAAATGGTTTATCCAAATCGCAGAGTGGAATATTGTAATAAATTTCATAAATCCTTTGAATGATTGGAGAAATTGGACATTTTTGTGCGGGCAATATATAGACCGCACAGATATAACAAAATTTAGAGACACACTTTAAACAAGGGGACCTCGTTTTTTGTAGAATATTATATAAGGAGGGAATTTGAATAATATTTAAAATCCAATTTTAAAAAAAATTGAATGAAAGAAATTAAATGTTTATGAAAAATTAAGCGCGAAAAAAAATAATTCTCCTTTCTTCCTACTCGTTATTTTGCATTATTATTTATTGCCCATACTACGGGTTCGAGGTACTCCATTGGAAAATCATATTTTGATATAAATTTATTAAAAAAACAAATATTCTTAAAAAAAAGATAAATATTAATAAAAAATATGAAAAAATTACCAATTATTGCATTTTAAATGAATTTTGCTTCAAAAATGCTCAATTCAAAAAGAGTACAAATTAAAAAAGTGGGTACAGATATCTGATTTTGGTATAAATTGATCATAAATGCATAAAATATTACTAAATACAACTAAAAAAGATAAATAATTACCATAATTTTGCTTTAAAAATGCTTTATGCAGAGAAAATTCAATAAAAGTGTACAAATTAAAAAGTTCGAAAATATCTATACCGACTTTTTTAATTTATAGATTTTGGTTGAATTTTCATGGCATAGAGTACTTTTGAAACATATTTAGAATTAATATATAATCTTGAGCATATTTGAAGCAAAATTATATAAAATATATCTTCTAAAGTTAATAATTTTGATAGTAATTTAAATTGAAGACTTAAGACCCCCAAAACGAAATTCTTTACCATTTTTCTCAAAAACCAATCGATAAAAAATTATAAAAATTAGTAAATTTATAAAGAAATACAAGTTTAACACTATCACCAATAATCAGGGATTTTTATTCAATACTTTTTAAAATATATCCGTATAAAGACCTAAATTTTACCATTTTTGAGATTTCGAAAAGTTTTCTTTATACGGTAATATTTTTAAAACTTGACGTGTAGGGAAAATTTGGAAAACGGATTCAAACTCAGCGTCAAATTCTGCGCCAAAACTTGTATTTATTTTCTTCTCCCATTTTTCTTGACACACAGTGTTATGGGCAATTAAGGCAAATGATCTCCATCAAAATTTATCGCTCAAATTGTATCTCAATCCTATTTCCTCAATCTTATTTTTTTATTATCTCTTTTTATTCATGTTTTTTTTTACCTAATAATAAAGTCTGAATTTTGCAGTAAATATGTTATTCCAATTTAAAAATAAAATATTTATCATTTTAAAATTTAAAATTTATAAGATTCAATTAGTGTTGTTAAACGGCTCGAATTTAAATCAAGATATTAGTCAAAACAATATTACGCAAAAGTCGAGATTTCGTTAGATGTTAAAACCTTTCTGAGATCTATGAGCAAAATCTCCAGGCTTGCGTAATATGTTTTAGCTAAATTATTAGGTTAATCGTAAAAATAGTGCTGTTTAACAACACTAGATCCAAAATTAACTGTAATTTTTAACTGTCATTTTCATGTGTAGAATCGGAAAGGACAATATAAAATTATTATTCGATATTTAAAAAAATAGTTGGGCTGATCTGATTTAATAACGATATTGAAATATTTATTAATAATATTTAAAACTTATACAATATCGGATCGATCCAATCACTCAAATTTTTAAGAGTATCGGTTATCGGCCGATATTGTTAAATTGCCTACTACTCTAATAATTTTAGGAATAAAAAATTACTTATTATGCAATGCAATATTAATATTAAATCATGCAAAAAAATAAGATGTGTTAATTATTTTTTTTCAATTGAAATAGATCGCCTTTATTGATTTTTTGATAAATTTTTGGTTTATCCTAATCCCACACATTTTCCCCATAATCCTATTATTAAGAATAGGACTGATTTGTATCAATGATTGCCCGATATCTACTTATCGGCAAAATCAGATAATATATAAATTTTAAAATTATTTTTAAATATAAATTCATTTAAACATAATATATATTTTCAAAAGGTAATTAATTATATCAAAGGAGAAAATATTTAATATAAAAAAGTAGTAAAATACCTAATATATTCCCATTCGTGCAGTGTGTGAACCACCAAGCTATCATCCACAAGTCTTAGCACATCATCATAAAATTCTCGAAATTCGTGATTTTCTATGCTTTCAGAAATGTCGTTATCGGTAAAAACTTTGTATATGGCTATCACATTTTTTCCGTTTTTAGTGATGATATCTTCTGTATCGGTGTTATTTACGAGACTATGGGAAAAATTACTAACTTTTTTAGAGGTGTCCTTGAAGGCTATGGCTACCATGTTCGAGATGGGGTTAAAATCAAAAGCCCCGGTAGGAGCGAACTGATAGCTGTAAGAACCCTTGTAAATGCACGCCCAGTGATACTTGAGTTCTTGAGAGAAAATATTATAACAATTTTATAGTTAAACCTGGGTTATGCAAGTTAAAGGTCAGCTGGACTGGAAAGCCATAAAAGTTCGGGTAGGATCAGATGAATTGTGAAATATTTTTCCGGACCAGTTCATAATTTTTCTAAATCTTACAATTAGGTAAATCTATTTCTTTTTCCTCCATAAAAAAATTTTTTGGGGCTAGGCGGTACAAAATTATTTTATAGGCTGGACCAAATAATCATTTCCAAAATTTCCAAAAGCCGATTCTGACCAATCCGCGCCGACCCAGATTCAATTAAAAGTAAATTATACTTGAGAAATGAGTGAATGTTATATAAATATTCTGAAAATTCCTTAATTCCTATTCTAAAGTTGATATGATAATAGTAGATTAGCTACAAGTATTTTTGGCCTATTTAAAAATAAAAATTATAGCCTGATGCTACCCCCTCACCATCAATTAAAAATTATTAATTACGGGATAAATTAAGCCTACTTATTAATCTTAGCTAAATAGTTCTCTAATAGCCATAATCCAAATACCTCGCCACAATTTCTCTACACTTGTTTGCACCCTTAAGAAACTTTGTATAAAATATAAAATAATTCAAGAATACGATATTTTTCCAACATTATAAATAAAAGACTAAAAATTGGCAATGTTTACAATAATTAGGACTGCGCCGATCCACATATTTTTCATCGATCCGATATTGGTTCAAAACCGATCCGATATTTATTTTTACCACCCTGTTTTGAACCAAATGTAATTTTTAAAATCCATATTTTTTATGCAAAAATCGAATTATGCATTTAATTTTACTTTAATATTTTTATTTCTACAATTAAGTCTATAATTTTTTAAAAAATTTATATTATAATAGATAAAAAAAATATATATATTTAATAAGGTATCCATTTTATTTTGAAATAAATATATATATGTTAATATGAATTATAAAATTGTAATATTTAATATATAAAATTATAATATATTAGATTTTTTTAAATAAATATGAGTGCCTCTAGATTTTCTGGCAATAAGCTTCTACGATGTGGACTATCTAAATTATACCCTGCCGTGCTGGAGATAGACTAAGATGGGACGCTTATTGCAGAAGGCGCCAAAAATTTACATTCAAGTTTTGACAAAGTTGGATACTTTTCAATAGTGAAGTGGATCCACAGGGTATATAATATCAATATCCATGTTATTAGAGTTATCTAAATAAACATAGAAATTAGCATTTTTAAATTAGTGGGTTTCATACAAACCCAACCTTTTATTTTGTTTGAAAAATAATCAGATACCACCCAAACAAATGGGTCAATCATAACCCAGCCAAGCAATACTGGATAAAATATGAAAAATATGTTATTTTACCGTTTAGATATAAAGATTATTTTAAATATTCCTGATTTCTTTCAAGTATGGCAGGTCATCTACATTACTATCGATTTCAATTATTTGTTACTAGTTTCTCTTTGATTTTCAATTTAAATAAATAAAATTTAGAGGGTGTTGAGCATTTCCATTGTTTTAAAAATAAATAAAAATTATTTAAAATTTTTTAAAAAATGATTTAGAATCTTTCAATTTTTATAAATATAAAATCTTTTAAAATATTATAATAATGTAAAATAAACTATAAAAATATAAATAACAATAACATAAAATAACAAAAAAAGTAAAAAGATCAGATCGAATCGTTTTTTACTGAACGATAGATCCGATATTTAATAGTGGCACAGCCTTAATAAATAAATCTTAAAATTCAATGGTATCAATGCTTCGTTAAGGTATCTTTGTTGTGTACAAAATATTAAAAATTAATTCAAAAACTTTATCTAAAGAGAAAACCAATAACTTGGCCAAAACATTTTTTTTAATTTTGTAAAATTTCAAGTTATATTTCTTAATAAAATGTTTTGGATAGGACCTATAAAATACCAAATCAAAAATAATTTAGAAATTTTTTCCATGTATTAATATGCTAATAACTGCAAAATAATAATTTCCTTATAATATATCAGCTTACCTTTTAAAAATTTATATTTAAACAGTTATTCCCCTTAACCTATTTACTTAATTCTTTAGAAAAGTGTTTTCACAACTAAAATAATTTAAAGATTTTATATAAACCTGATTGGCCGGGTATCTTTTCATAATTTATGGACCAAATCTTAAAATTTTCTTCTTTTCGACTGATCGTATAAAGGGTTGGCCGCACAGGATTTAAATCAGTCCCACAGTCGGTGCGAAGTTTGGTAAAGTCAGAATTTTGAAGGAATGCATTAGAACAGGCTGGAGAAAATTTCATGCTGTCGACCTGGAATTGAGAATGCGGGTTAAGGATACTCGTGTTAGTGATGTAACTGTGGAAGATAAAAATAATAAATGAGACAAACATGGGATTGAAAAATAACTTGATTTATGGGAAACCAGTTCCTTATTAGATGACCTTTGTTCGAGGTAATTTTTTTCTAAATTATCTATGAGTTTATTATAATTTTATGAATTTTACAATAAGGTAAATAAATTTTTCTCAAAAACGTAAAATTAGGTAAAAACTGGGGTTTAGCCCATTCGATTAATAATAGGAAATGTTATCAAGATATTTACCTAGAGCCCTATAAAAGTTACTCCGACATCTGTCTCAAGGCCATACTCGATCTTAAATATTTTTTAAAAATCGGGCAGGGATTCGAAAAATAAAATATTTTTTCTATTTTTGTTTAAGAAAAAATTGTAATTTTTCTAATATTAAAAGAAAGCAGTGATTTTTATTTAATTTAAATTTATAAAAATGTGTTTAATTTATATTTTACAATTAAAAATTTCGGGCCAAACTAGGATCTAAAATAAAATTTTCTGGCCAGGGAAGGCTCTACTCTAGAATGTAATAATCCTTTGGGGTTGGGATTAAATTTTTTATAATTATTTTTTATTTTTATGTATTTTTAAAGAATTTCAAACGTATATTTTTTTATTTGAAATATTTTCTATTATAGCAGAAATACAAATAAAATGATACATAATTAAAAATTGAATAAAAAATAGCCTCTTATTTCATAATATTTATAAATTCAGTCAAGTTTCTGATGCAAATAAATAAGAATCGTCATCCTCAAAGTTTTTTTCCTTGCAAAAAAGGCATTACACACGGAATAAAGTAATATTTTAAGATATGAGAATATTCACTGTTTATAAAAAAATCGAGCAGAAGTTTAAGGATAACCGTTATATTTAATGAAAATTTATACAGACCTAGTGGACAAATCAAACTTTGGAATTAATTTTAAACTAGTAGATAATTCACTCGAAACTGGAAATTATTTTTATACAACTATTTTGTTATTTTTTTTAATAAATGTAACAATTATTACAAATTATAATAAAATTAGCTCATTTATGTTTTAATAATCGATATCGTAATCTAAATCAATTAAATTTTTAAATAGTTTAAAAAGATTTATTATTATACAATATTTCAAATAAAAGAATATAAGTTCATTATATCGCTTAAAAATATGCATATCAGAGATGCACCAAAACGATACTTGGTATCGGTCGATACATTAATTTTTAACCGATACCATTAGCCAATACTCAAAAATAATAATTCACCATCATAAATTTCAAAAAAAAATTTAGTCAACATTATGCTAGGAATTTTTAAATAAAAATCATAAAAGTTTCTAAACCGAAAAAAAGAATAAAAGAAGATGCTATTAATATTTATTTCCTATTCTTTAATTTTATGAATATTATAAATTAGTAAAAAATGATAATATTGATGAATTATATATTTTTGCCTTTTTTCATAAATGTACAATATTATTTTGGATATTGGGTATCGGTGGCAGTGACCGATACCGTGTAAGTATCGGTTAAAAGGGTGGTATCGGTGTAACTCTTATTATTATAAACCAGGGCTGTGAGCCCTCCTTTTAAAAAAGGGTTCCGGTTTGGGTTCTGGTTCAGTAAAATATCTCTGAACCAGAACAGAAACATTAGTTTATTATAAACTTTATTTTACTATATATCATAAATATAATTTATCATTATAATTAGAATACAATATCGCCGGGGTGGCCTAATGGGTTAGATGTATGCTTAGAAACAGAAGGACGCAGGTTCAATCCTGGTAAGAAACATAAAAACTTTCAAGTTTTTCTTCGATGACTGATGTGTAAAGACATATGGTAAGATGAATTTCGGAGCTTAGAGATGACACCCCGGTTACCGACAGGCCTGGATAGCCGGGTGCTAAGGATACCTGTCCAATAAACAAAATGAAGGAAAGAAATGGAAATATGAATATGAAAGCTAGGGCGTTCCCTCCAAGCGACGCGCAGGGTGTAGACCCATCCTGTGAAAAGTAAAGTAAAGGTCAAAGCAAAGAAGACAAGATTAGCAAGTTTGAATATTGGGACGCTTAAAGGTAAGACGAGAGAATTGGCATCAATGTTGAACAAGAGAAAAGTTGATATAGCGTGTATACAAGAGACGAAATGGAAGGGACAGAAGACTTTGATGATTGGAGATGGGTATAAATGTACTATAATTGAATTGTTAGCAATGAACGGTGTCGGCATCATCCTCAGTCAAGATTTAACCTCCTCAGTAGTAGAAGTCAACAGGATCTCTGATAGACTAATGAAGATAAAACTCTGCATTGGTCAATCAATACTACACATCCTTTCAGTATATGCTCCTCAAACGGGTTGCAAGGAAGAATAGAAAGATGACTTTAGAGCTATCCTTAATGAAGCTGTAATGGAAATCCCTAAGGATGACCTAGTCATAATTGGTGGTGACTTAAATGCGCATGTGGGGAAAGCAAGAGATAGCTAGAAAAGGCATCATGGTGGTTTTGGATATGCGTACTGAAATTTGTGCAAGCCTTCGACCTTGCCTTAACCAACACCTACTATAGGAAAAAAGAGAGTCATCTAATAACATATGAAAGTGGTACAAGGAAAACACAGATAGATTACATGCTAATCTCTCACAAAAGATTAAAAGATGTAATAGACTGCAAAGTCATCCCAGGAGAAGATATCGCCACGCAACACAAGCTACTAGTCATGGATTTACGATAAATCCGCTCAAAACAAGATAAAACTGGAACCATGCATCAAATGGGGCAAATTAAAAACAATGACAGATGCCTTTGCAATCTGCAAACATTGAAACAATAGATTCCTCACAAGTCAGTGAAAAAATGTGGACAGACCTTTCATTCAGATTAATAGACACTGCCAAATCGACACTAGGCTTGACAAGGGGAGGTAACAAATCATACAAAGAACTATGGTGGTGGAATAAAGAGGTACAAACCATTATACAGGAGAAAATAGCCCTTTATAAAATATGGTACAAATCCAAAAACCCAGATGACAAGACAAGATACAAAAAATCCAAGAGATTAGCTACAAAGGCGGTGGCTAGGGTCAAATCTATGGCATACAATGACATGTATGAAGAACTACATACCAAAGAAGGGCAAAATAAAATATACAGATTAGCCAAACAGCGAGAAAAGAATTCTAGGGATATAAACGGAGCTCCGAAAGTAATCAAAAATAAAGATGGGAAATTGATAATAAAGGAAAAAGAAATAATGAATAGATGGAAAGAATATTTTCAGGAGCTTCTCAACTTTAATCCCCACATACTACATCTAGACGAACACTCCCCATGTCAAAACCTTGTACTACTTAAAACAGAACAAGAAATAATCACATGCCTCAAGCATATGAAAAACAACAAAACTAGGGGTCCCAGACGATATTCCAATAGAAAGCCTTAAAGCACTAGGAGATGATGGAATACATCTCCTCACAAATCTGTACAATAAAATACTTGGAAATGAAGAGGTTCCCCAAAAATGGAGACAGAGCTATCTAGTTCCTATCTTTAAAAATAAAGGGGATCCACACAATTGTCAAAATTACTGGGGCATAAAACTAATGTCACACTGTCTAAAACTATACGAAAAAATAATAGAAAAAAGATTAAGAGACATAATCGAAATAGGAGAGACTCTGTTTGGCTTTATGCCTGGAAGATCAACAACTGACGCTATCCACGCAATTAGGCAAATGAGTGAAAAAAACAGGGAAAAGAACAAAAAGCTACACATGGTCTTTCTCGATCTAGAAAAGGCCTTCGATAGAATCCCAAGAAAACTTATCAGGTGGGCGCTACGCCACAAAAAAGTTCCCGAAAAATATATAAGAATAATACAGGATATGTATATGGGCCATACTTCAGCAGGCTTCATAATAGCCGAAGGAGTTCGTTCATCAAGTGTCGGTTCTCAGCCCACTTCTCTTCATTACAGTGTCTATACCTCAAACAGTCCCGTGGAACATGATATTTGCAGATGATATTGTGATACTTGCCGAATCCAAGGATAAAATGAAAGAAAAATTGGTGAGTTGGATAAATATCCTAGAAAAGCACGGACTAAAAGTAAAAGAGAAAAGACGGAGTATATGGTGATAGGAGGAGATGAAACAGAGAGTATTGAATGAATGGCAGATATCGGCAATTGAAAGCTGTAAATATTTGGGTTCCACTATAAAAAAAACGGCACAATAGAAAAAGAGATAAAGAGTAAAATTAATCAAGGGTGGTTAAAGTGGAGACTATTTGACAAAAGAATCCCACACAAAATAAAGGGAAAAATTTACAGTTCCATAGCACAACCAACTATTCTATATAGTTCGGAAACATGGCCAACCAAAGAATCAGACGAGAGAAGTCTACAAACTATGGAGATGAGAATGCTGAGGATGATTGCTGGGGTAACAAGAAAGGATAAAGTGCGCAGTACAAGAATACTAAGTAGTTTAAAGGTAGTGCCCATTAAGACTAAGTTAATGGTAAACAGACTTAGGTGGTATGGGCACACAATGAGAAGGCCTATTAACTACATAGGAAATAAGGTTGAGAGTTTGGAAGTGATGGGCAAACGTAAAAGAGGAAGGCCAAAACTTTAATGGGGCCATAAAGTTAGAGCCAATATAAAGAAGTATAAATTAGATAAAAGAGATTGTATGAATAACATAAAGTGGAGAGAGATGTTGAAGGAGCTTACCACCAGAAAAGGTGAAAGCTAAAGAGAAAAAAAAATTTAGAATTAGAATATAAGCGAATATCATGATATCTTTACATTTTATTTTACCTTATGATTATGTTTTTTCTTTGGTCTTACTTTTTTAATACTCCAACAAACAAAAATAAATAATCCTAAATATATATTATTATATTATACATTATCTATTATAGGTATGCTGATATTAAATATCGTATCGAATAGGCACCGATATCTAGCGTTTTCCAAAAATATAGGATTGGGCCGATAGCAGTGAAAAATGATCCGATATTTTTACTTTTCTTTTTTTGTTATTTTATGTATATTTATTATTTTACATTAATAATATTTTATAAATAATTCTTTTATAAATAATTCTTTTATAAACAATGCAAATGCACAACACCCCTTAAATTTTATTTATTTTTTAAAATAGATTTATAGTATTTTAGTTTTTTATAAAAATAGAAAGGAACACCCAAAGTTTTATTTATTTTAAATCTTTTTAAATAATAACACCAATTTTATTATTTATACTTTAAATAAAAGAATTTTTTAAATATGGTATCTGAATTATGGAAATATTTTACAAAAGACAAAGATAATTTTACAAAATGCATTAAATACGGAATTCTAATTTCACGGGAAGTAATAATGAAAAATTCATTTAATAACAATATCCGTAAACTTTTTTTAATTATTGTAGAAATAATAAAATTAAATTAAATGCATAAATCGATTTTTTGCATAAAAAATATTGATTTCTTTATTACATTTGGTTCAAAGGGGGGTGGTGAAAAATCAATATAAATATCGGATCGGTATCGGATCCATTTTGAACCAATATCGAATCGGATCGGTTAAAAATATGTGGATCAGCATAGCCCTAATCTATTATAAGAGTTACAAATATACTGGTAAGATTTTATATAAAATGGAATACCCTAAAATATAATAAAAAGGATTCCACGCAAATTAATTTTCACCAATATTTTATATTGAAAGAATAAAAAATCATTAAAACAATATGAAAAAAATGAGACAAATCACAGGGGACCCCTAAAGAAGGATTTTATTTTCGTCAGCAGATTTTTCTCGGAATCTGCCGGCCCACTTTATTAAGCATTCACTCTTCTCAAGGGTGATATGTATTTTTTTAATGTCTTTTTATTTCTTTTTAATGTTTTACTATTAAAAAAAATTTTTTTTTATATAATTTTTAATATATTCTTATTTGTATTTAATATTTTAAATTTAAACCACTTTTTTAAAAATAAAAAATTTACTTCAAAAACAATGTTATATGTTTTTAAATAATTAGCATGTTTTTTTATATTTAATTTTAATATAGTTTTATATACGTTATTTTTAATACATTTTAAAATATATAAAAATTTGCCTTAAAAAGTTATTGAATCCTGAGCCCTACATTATAAAAAAGGGTCCGGAGATCAAAACATACTTGAGTCTATATTTTTAATTTTCAACAGTTTAAATGATATTAGACTAAGCCCTGGTAAATCGACTTATATGTTATCCTAATGCATAAATTACTATAACATAGCCGATGACATTTTGATTCTATAATTAGATTTTTGTTTTAAAATAGAATTGCATTTTTAATCAATAGTGTAATAATTTATTATATATTATCATATTATCTTTTATCTATTTTCAATTTTCAAATTATTTTAAAAATTAAGAAGCATCACAAATTAATGATATTTATTTAAAATTTGCGATATATTAATAATTTAACTTTATTGATGACTCTTTTAACGTATGAAGTCCAAACTAAGAAATTTAATGATTTCATTTTTAGTCGCCTATAAAAGTTAAAAACATATTAAAAGTGAAAAACCTATTCCGATCTTTTTTGAATTCCCAGAATTTGAGGTAAGATTCGGGCATGGTATCCTCAACACCGAGTCTATATTGAAAAGTGACCATGAAGTGCTTAGGTTCGCCCAACGTAAAAGAAGCGGGAGGCGTAGAAAAAAAGGCTATCTTAGTGACTTGCGTGTTTGAAGGGGATTCATATCTCGTTCCAGTGGACTTGTTTTGATGACAAATGTCCAGCTTGGGCGGGGGAAAAGAAAAAAGAAAGGTATAAAAACATACTATAACATATTTTTCGAAATATAAGTGCAATGACTTCGAGCGGAGAGGTTTAGATAAACGTAAATGGTTTTAATTTTTATAGGTTATTAAATGATTCAAATCGATTAGAAAAAAATGATCATCATGGTGACCAACTGCTAGATATGGTAAAAAAAGTGGCATCAACATCGATTTGAAAGATCTTATAGCAGTAGTTTTGTAATTTGACTCGTAGGTTTACGATTATAAAGTAATTTGAACCAGTGTAAGCCTGGGTTAGGTAAAATTTTGTAAAAGAAATCTTTCGATGAGTAAATCCTTATTTTTAAAAAAGAATTAGTTTGCTTGTTTTTATTTTTATTATCTTTGTATTTTAATTACTTTATAAATCAATTGGTCTTGGATAGGATCGTAAAATTGAACAAATCCCGTGGAACCATTTGTCACTAGAATTTTGGCATTCCGGGTATTCATGACCAAACCAGTTTCCCATAAGGCCGTATTATTGCATCTAAATTACACCCATCAAACAATATTTATTTTAAATAATAAGGAAATAAATAAATATATACATATATATATTTTAAAGAATTAGAACCCTGCGAGAACATATCTGAACCCGTTTGATCAGACAAACATTCTTTCAGACTCAGTTAAGATATTTTAATTAGGTTCGTACTGAACCTCGGGAATGAATATGGAGTCTGCACAGTTTTACAAACATTCTCTCGGACTCGGTTGAGAATATTTAATTAGAGCCACACCAAACCTTTAAATTATTTCGTTTTCCTAATGTTTTTATAAATATTATTTTCAAAAATGCCCAAAAAATATTTTTTCTTTGGGGATTATGGCTTATAATTTTTCTACTTTCTTTGAAATATCGTTATACTTCAACAGTCTAATAATTTTCTTTGGATTGTATCGGAATTGGAACTAGTTCTAAATTAAAATTTCAAACGAGCCCATTGATATCTCGGATTAAATTGGTCGTAAAAATTAAAATATGAAATAAATATCTATAAAATAATCCATCCATTCCTGGCTGACACTCATTTACCGCAAAGATCGTTTAATGTGAGCAACTCTCTAGTTAGAACAAACTTGATAAGTAAAACAAGAATAACTCTTCATAATCGCCCAAAAATATTTTGGTACTTTTGACGCTAATTAACAAGAAATTATCTAAATAAATTTTTCGAAGAAATTATTTATTTTTTTACGAATATGAAAAGAAAAATAAATATTACCCATTAATGACACTGGCAAAATATTCAATTTTATTGATGTTCGTTTCGCTTTGCTCAAAGTTACCCTTAATTTTTTCCAACCACATGTCATCGATGACACGGGTGTGATTAGCGTTGATTCGTTCTTCTTTGTCGAACAAAAGTCCTGATATGGTCAGGTATTTAGGGAAATCAAACTGAAACCCCATTATCTTGATTCCTGTTTATATTTATTATAAACATATTAATTGTGACATGGCCTAATCTAAAATATATTATAATATTAGATTTGTTAAGAATTTATTCTATGGGTCATTCCGTTATCATTTTTTTAACGTTCCCGAGACGCTTCCCGCCATGGTAACCCGTTAATAGTTCTAAGGATGACCCGATTGTTCGAAAAGACATTATGATTATTATAATTTGAAACAAGTATTGTTGCTAAAAACCTCGATTTAACCGATTTTTAAAAAGGGCAAAGATTTTAGTTAAACCAATATTATTTGGGCCTCGAGATTTTTAAAAAAAAATAGGATCAAACCTTCCTTGGATATTTGGGCCAAATCTCGAGTTTTATGTTATATTTGTTTGACTAAAATCTTGTTCGCCGTTTGACTAAATCGAAGTTTTTAACAACACTAATAATAAGTTTAATATTAAAAAAATATATAGTATATATTTTTAAAAAATTTCCATGGGGCCTAGCATTTTTTTAAATTTAAAGGTCATCTATTCATATTCCTTTTTTAAGAAATTAAATAATTTTATATACTCCCATTCAAAATAGGATTTGTTCATGAAAAATATTTATATTAATCAAAAAAGGAAAATTATCATTTATTCTATTATGGATATAATTTTTTTTCTTTATTTTAGATCATCCCACAACGTCATTTGTTATTTTTCATCCATTTTCTAAGTTCCTTTATAATTTTTGTAATTTTCTCTTTAATTTTTTGTTATTTTTTATCCTTTTTTAAAGTTTTTTGTTACTTCTCTTTCACCTTATGAATCTATATTGTTCTTTCTCATTTTTTTTAATCATTCTTTTTGTCTTTTTTGCCTTAACTACTTCGAAATCGAAATAATACTAGTTACAAGGATTTAATTGATTCGTTATCAAATCTTTCATGAAGTTGCATTTTTACTAAATGTGCAACATACAACACGTAATTTTAAACAATGGCGTTTTATTAAGTTTTTAAGGGGGTACATAAATTCATAACTATTGGATCAAATAATATCAAAATCCCCTCCCCCCATATACACCTCATAAGAAATGGGGGTAATTTTAAATCTATTTTATTTCCCTAGAATGACATAAATTTTATTAAATATTTTCCAAGACTAGAGAATTTATAAGAATGAGATTTGGCATTAGATTTTAAGAGTTCAAGGGTTAAAACTAGTGTTGTTAAACGACTAGATTTGAGCCGATTTTTAAAAACGGCTAACTCAATATTTTATATAGAAAAATATTACTCAAGCCTGAAGATTTTTACTCATAAATGACACAAAGGTCTATATATCTATTAGCGAAATCTGGAGCTTTAGACAATATTTCTTTGGCTAAAATATTGAGTTAGCCGTTTTTAAAAATCGGCTCAAAATGAGCCGTTTAACAACACTAGTTAAAACAATTTTAAAAGGTAATTATTTTGCCTATTTATTTATATTATTAATTATTTGATTATCCACAAATTTTTCGCCTATCCGATTTTTCCCAATATTCATAAAAAAATCCAATAACCGATACCGATATTTAGATTGATTTTTATTTACCAGCATCCTTAAACCAATCTTATTAAAGAATAACTGTAAAGTATAAGACAAAGCAAGAAACACTATTGAGGGAAAGGGGAACTTTGATATATAATAGAGATGCAAAAGTTGACCAGACCAGTACCCGGCTCGAACGGGTTCCGGGAAGGGCAGGGCCTATTTTTTTTTAAAAAATTGAGTTCAAGCTGAGGGCCTAATATTTTTTTAAAAAAAATTCTAGCCAGGTCAAGTCGGGTTTATGAAAAATTTTAAAATATATCTAAATTTGTCAAATTTATGTTGAATCACATTATGTCAATATTTTTGATGTAAATATAATTTTATTTGTAGAAGCTAGACGCCATATAATATATATCTTTTATTTTGGTTATGATAATGTTAAAAAAAAAATTTTAAGTATAATATAAAAAAAAAAAATTCTATTTTAAATAAATTAAGGCCCGACCGGTGCAAAGTGTGAAAGTGATTACCGTGTGATTTTGAAATCTCAAGGCTAATACCGTGTGAACGTAATTTTATGAGATGAGATTTTGATTTTTATCGCTTCAAATACATTGGGGGCCATTTAAATATTCAAAATCTCAAGGCTATTATAGAAAACATATGTCAAAATATATGAACTAAAGCCTCCATAACTTTGTTGGGATGTAGACTTTGGGAAACAACTTGGTAAACCCACCATCTTTGAGCAAATTGAGGGAGATGGGAATTGTTTTTATAGGTAAAATATAATATAAAATTTTATTTTATTCTACTTTATATAATTTAGGACAATTTCCATAAAATTCTCAATTCTGGCAAAATTTATGTTAATATTCGAGATGGGAAAGGTAATTGAAAATTATATTTACGACACAAACAAAAAAATAGATGTAAAAACTTATGTCTTAAATAATGTTATGACAGGGCAGATATGGGCTTTTGGCACAGAAGTCAGGGTGATGGTAACACCCCCATTTTTACATATATAAAATATTATAATTTTGTATCAGCCCGATATATTAGAGATAATATTAAAAAAATTTATATTAATTTTATTTATAAGAAAAATGGAGGAAACCATTTTGAAAATCTTTCAGATTGCAATCATTTATTTCCCATCTAATCATTATTTAATATATCTTTATTAAGATTAAATAATTTTTATTATAAAAATATAAATATTTTATTTATATTATAATTTTTATTCCTCCTAATATATTTTTTCAATAATTTATCTTCCATCTAATAATTATTTGATATATTTTTATTAAAATTTATATTTTATATAAAAATATATAAATATATTTCATTCATATTCCACCTAATATATTTTTTTAAAGAAAGTTGTAGTTTATAAATAAAATTCAATATATGATAAATAATTATATTTTTCTATGAAGTATTTATTAAATATAATTTTTAAAATTATATATAAATAATCATATCCATAAATTTATTCGTCTACCTTCTTATTCTTTTATTGAATTTTTTTATAAGATGCTAAATGAAGTTTATTTTAATATTGGTAACCAAATTCAAATATTTTTTTTTTCTTTAGCTTTCACCTTTTCTGGTGGTAAGCTCCTTCAACATCTCTCTCCACTTTATGTTATTCATACAATCTCTTTTATCTATTTTATACTTCTTTATATTGGCTCTAACTTTATGGCCCCATTGAAGTTTTGGCCTTCCTCTTTTACGTTTGCCCATCACTTCCAAACTTTCAACTTTATTTCCTATGTAGTTCATAGGCCTTCTCATTGTGTGCCCATACCACCTAAGTCTGTTTACCATTAACTTAGTTTTAATGGGCACTACCTTTAAACTATTTAGTATTCTTGTACTGCGCACCTTATCCTTTCTTGTTACCCCAGCAATCATCCTCAGCATTCTCATCTCCATAGTTTGTAGACTTCTCTCGTCTGATTCTTTGGTTGGCCATGTTTCCGAACTATATAGAATAGTTGGTTGTACTATGGAACTGTAAATTTTTCCCTTTAATTTGTGTGGGATTCTTTTGTCAAATAGCACTCCAAATAAAGATCTCCACTTTAACCACCCTTGATTAATCTTACTCTTTATCTCTTTTTCTATTGTGCCGTTTGTTTGTATAGTGGAGCCCAAATATTTTCAGCTTTCAATTGCGGATATCTGCCATTCATTTATATCAATACTCTCTGTTTCATCTCCTCCTATCACCATATACTCCGTCTTTTCTCTATTTACTTTTAATCCGTGCGTTTCTAGGATATTTATCCAACTCACTAACCTTTCTTTCATTTCATCCTTGGATTCGGCAAGTATCACAATATCATCTGCAAATATCATATTCCACGGGACTGTTTGAGGTATAGACTGTGCTAATACATCTATTACTGTAATGAAGAGAAGTGGGCTGAGAGCCGACTCAAATATAAGTACAAAATAATAGAGATGGATTATCTATAAAATATTATATTAAGTAAACAAAATAAGCATTACTTAAATATAATTATATTTTAAGATTAAGCCATTTAGGTTAAGAATTTGTCTTATTGCTTATGTGCAGTGTTTACAGAGAATGGGTACTGATTTTAGATGGTAAGATAGAAAAGGGGGATTTGCCTCTAGTAAATTTTATCATGTAGAAGTTTTTCAATAAATTAATGTTAATCGAGAAGATATACCTTGTATATGAAATCTGAAGATGAAAAGCTAAGGTGCCTCTGAGTAGCAATGGGATAAGAGTCCACGGTTTAGGATCTACTTAATTAACTTAAACTTGTTTCACAATATTATTTTATAAATTTCATATTGTACAAATTAAAATGTTAGTAAGTATCTTTTCCCTTCCTCAATATTACTAAGCTATAATTCCAATTATTACAAATGATAAATTATGTAATATTCATATATTGCCAAGATAACACTAATGATTATTGATTGGAGCCTATCAATAATCTGAACCTTATCATCCCAGGTACTTTTTGGTATGAAATACAGACTATAGATAGGTGGCAGTGGCGTAACTAGAAATTTTCCTTAGAGGGGGTCCATACATAAATTTAGTAGATTATTCTCGATGACTTTATAATAATACTATCCAGAATAATTTCAATAGTAATATAATATCCTTCCACGAACATCAAAACCAGAAAAATATAAATATTATTGGTATTTATTTGATATAAAGTCACCACTTATAAGTCTTTTGAACGTATATTCTAAAAATACATTTTTGCTCTGGGAGGGGTCCAAACCCGAAAACCACCCCCGTAGCTACGCCACTGATAGGTGGCATCGGATTTTTAGATATTATACTAATTTACATAAAAAAAGCAAAACAATCAGATTTACAATTTTAAAAAAAAATTTGGATGTATATAGATTCAAGTCAATAAGAATAGCCACTCATTCAATTTTATTTGGATATAATTATAAATAATTGACTATTTAATCATATAAATTTATATTATTAAAAAGAGAAATTTTTATATCCTTAACTCTAATGATGTACCTTGAATTTACATTTCTCATTATTCGCCTTAATAATCTTAAAAAAATTAAGATGAACTCTTGAAATAAAACAATGTATCTCTTGCAAAGCATTATTAAAATATTCTAAAATATAGATTATAATTAAACAGTTAGGGTTTATACCATTATTTTCTCTATATTATAATATTAATAATTTTAAATACATGCCATGAAAATTTTTACTTTCGATTTAACACTTCAAAAACATTAAAGGCTATTTATATCAAAATCTCACAACAAATCTGTGGGATTTTGATGGTGTGAGATTTCGTAATCTCATCTATCACTTTCAGCCAGGGATGCGAACGGTTCGGGTTCGGTTTAAGGTAAAATAAAAATAGGATGGTTTGGTTCGGGTTCGGTTCAGGGAAATATTTTTGAACCCGTGTTTGATTAAGGGTTCAGCTCTTGTTTAAGAATTTTTGAATTGATAAAAAAAAATTCTATATTTAATAAATCATAAAAAACTATACATAAATTTGGCATAAAAAATAAATTTTTTATTTTATTTATTGACAAAATATAGTTAAAAATACAAAGCAGGCATGTATCAATTTTAAAAATTTAATGACATATTTCCTTAAATTAACAATATCCAATATAATAATTTTTACTTTGACTTGTTGACTTTCATTTTCCTCTCAATAACCATTGAGAATAAGTTAAAAATTAAAAATAAATGGCGTAAATGAATTTAATTGTTTAAAATTTATTAACACACCAATAGGAATCTTTGAGAATAAATTTAAAAAATTTTTAAAATGGCGTAAATGAATTAAATTGCTTAAAATTTATTAACACTTCACTTAAATGGAAATTTGAAAATATTTTAAAATGTCAAGTAAATTATTAATATTTGTATTTGCAATTATACAAATATCTTATATGATTTTAAACAATTAGACTGAACCCGGTTGAACCCGGATTCAGATAAAATTCACGGGTTCGGTTCGGGGTTTTAAAAATTTTATAAACAGGGTTCAGGTTCGGTTAGGCTTCAGATTTTTTCCCAAAAACCCGGGTTTTCTTCTCCGAATTCGGGTTCGGTTCGAATCCCTGACTTTCACACGTTACACCAGCAAAACTTTTTTTAAAAAAATTCAGGTTCGGGCTGGGCTGGACTTGAAAAATTAGGCCCGATGCAAATCATTAGATAATTTGTTATAATTGCTACGAATGTATGTACCCTCTTTGCAATCGTGAAGCATTTATTTCGTACCTCTTCACATCACACGTTATAGGAACCATTTTTGGTCCCGTCCATATTTTTTACTCAACGAGGATATAGAAAATTTAAAAATTCAATTATCTCTGCTTTGAACCCTGCTAAAAATAAAATATATAAAAAGTAAAAAATTATTATTCAAAGAAATATTTTACATTTTATTTTCTTATCACCTAAAATCCAAAAAATATTTGTGAAGGAAGTTTATTATCTCTATAAAACTGAAAAAATAATTGACCCAATTTTTCAAAAAAATATCAATATCAAAATTTATTTAGATTCTAAAAAGGTTAATTACCATTATTTTGCAAGCATACTGCAATGTATAAATTATCTTTGGAAATGACTATTTTCTCTATGGGACATTCAAACCGGGGCAAAAATAGCCTGTCCTCGTTTTTCAAATCCCATTTAATCAAAACTCCTTCTTTGCCGCCGCTCAAAAGATAGGAACCTGGCAAAAAGTAAAAATAAGAGTGTAAAATAATTTATTGATTCCTTGTTAAAAACTTTCAAAGGAATTAAATGATTGGGCAAAAGATTGCCGCGTATGACTGGTGTTACTCAAAATGGTTTTAATTACATCAAATAATATGCTTATAAAAATTATTTTCATTTTAGATTGAGTCACTTTGTTCCGGTTGGTTTATAAAAATATTGTTTTATTATAAGTATACAATAAAAACCCGCTAATATGATTAACTCAACCTGTATAATCTGACTTTATCCTTACTTTAATATAAATATCAAAAAAATTGAGGGATTTTAAGAAAGAATATTTTTTGGCAAAATTCCTGGCCTACAGATTTTTCAAATAAGTAATATGATACCTTCAGTGGAAAAGGCTAAAGTATGAAGAGGAAAAGTGTGCCAATGATAAACGGATCTGATGGGATGTTTTTTGTGGACATCATTCCTTGTAAATTATTATGTAATTTTTTTTTTAAATGCTAGATAATCTAATATAAAATATGATTTTCTATTACTTTACATTTTTAAGAAACATTGATTAGTAACTAAATCATAAAGGAAATGAGAGAGCTGGGATGGCTCTGAAGATGACCAACATTCTGATAAAAGGTATCTTCCATTATTCCCTATCCTATCTATTTTTCTGTCAAAAAATACAACATATTGGCAATCTTATGGCCAGGTCCAACTGCGACTTAAAAATAAATTATGTTTTGCAAGCAATCATTTCTAAAATCTAATCTAGTATATTATCTCGATTTTTTAAAATATATTCTTATATAATGTCATTTCAGTTTAAGGCAGAGATGGCAAAAATCATGAATTTTTAATTTTCAAGTAAGGGAAACTCAAAAAAATGCATTTCGGTTAAAATATGTACCTAATAAAATAACCCTCATTCGTCTAAGTTTTAAGAAATGTATTTTTTATATTTCAGCAAAACTAGTTTTATTAAACGGCCCGGCCCGATTTGGGTCGATTTTTAAAAACAGCCCGATTAAGATTTTAGCCAAAATAAAATTATATGAGCCTGGAGATTTTGCTCATAGAGGCAGAAAGGTTTGGACCTCTATTTACCAAATTCGAGTGCATAATATTATTTTGACTAAAATCTTAATCGAGCCGCTTTTAAAAATCGACCCAAATCGGCTCGTTTAACAAGACTAAGTTTAAAGCCACATCTGAACATAAAGAGGACCATAATTTATAAACTGAATAGATGAAATATTCTTTTAAACCCAAGTTTAACCTAACATTTAAAATTAAAACGGGGGAATGGTATTAACATTTAACTCTGAACAATATTTATTTGAATTCTTTTTATAGGTAGACTACAATTAAATAATAAATGAATGGAAAAAAGCAATTTATGATTTATAAGTTAGATAAACAAAATAAATATATTATAGGGCAAAACATTATGAAAGAAGCTGATAAAGTATGTTCGATTAACCCCAGAGCCTTGAATCAGGTCTATTTTTTAGGTTGCATTCAAAGTGGAGACGGATCCGTTTTTTACATCCGTTCCGTCAAAAGTCAATCTCATTAAAAATGATATATATGTTCACAGTGTGTTCCGATACCTTCCGTCTTAAAAACGGATCCGGGCAAATTTTATAGAGTTATAACGTTACTTATAATTTTTTAAAAATGAAAATCAATATATATCATTTTTAATGAGATTGACTTTTGACGGAATGGATGTAAAAACGATTCCGTCTCCACTTTGAATGCAACCTCAGGCGGCCCAATACAATAAAAATTTCGTTTTGAATGATCAAAGAAAAAGTTTCTAAGTTTAATCTGAAATTTTCTGAAATATGACGAAGTCCAAACTTTTTAAAAATGTAGGGGATTGTTAAAGTATGATATTTTAACAAAAGCAGAAAAAATTATAAGCACGCTTGAATATTTAAAAAAAATTGGTATTATTCTTGAAAAAATATTTATACTACCCAAACCAAAAATAAAGCCGGTTTCACATTTTGTCTCTTTTACCAATCTTTGCAGAAATTTTGTACGTAATTATATTTTGACGAATTAATTTTATTATAATTTAAGGTTAGTTTCAAGAATCCAATTATGATTTTTAATAATTTTTTGGATAACTAATTTCGAAGTTATGGCAATTTATAGAAAAATATTTTTATTCAAAAATAGCGCCGTTTTTTAATTTCATGTTTTAGTCATTGTTTTAAATGGTTATAACTAATGTCAGAGTGAAGGTAAGATCATCTGCTTTTAAATATCTGCAAAAACTTTGCTAAGTTTTCGTTTTTCACAATTATTTTTAAATTTAATTTCAAATACCTGATGGAATTCCAATTGAATTAATTTATCCAAGAGAAAATTCTGAATCTAAGAAGGAATGAATAATTTAGCGATGCTCCATCTAAGCAGAGAAATGATCTAACAATATTAATAAATTGATTCCGTCAAGTAAAATCTGCTCGCAATGGCCTCAAATGATAATATCCAGGGATAAACGCAGTTTGTAACAAAATATTAGGGAAAATCACGGATCAAATCTTGTTCACTCGACTCAAAAATTAAGAAATACGACAATAAAAGCTTTATCTATCTCTACCTGCAACAGAATTATTCATTCTTTGGGTTATAAATTTCATTTGTACTTCTTATTTAATGATAGTTCAAACTATCAACAGTTAACCAAAAGAAGAAACGATACTATTTCATAAGGAAAAAAAATTGGACCTTTCCCGAATTGTCAAAATTTGTTCTGACGGTTTAAGTTAGTATTGGAATTTGAGAATATTTGCAATAATGTGGTATGCACGCCAAATATTCCATCCTGTAAAAATTTTAATGTTTGGGAAAATAAACAATCTAAGCACTGCCAGGCATTGCCCGAGAAAGCTTCAGTTGGTTATTAGAGTTAAAAGAGACGTTTCTAAATTTTGACCCATATTAATGTGTTATAGTGTGCACAAATTGAGCGTTGCAACGCTCCGTTTTAAAAGCTAATAATGCATTTTAAATGGTATTGTGCAAATTGGATTTTTTTACGGCAAGCGTTAAAAAAAAGCAAATTGGTTTGATTTTTTTTATGCGTTTTTAATTTTGCGCTAAAATTTGAAAATGGATACAAAATTGTAAGTATAATTTATCTCATATATTAATTGATATTATATCATTTAGAATATATTAATTGATATTTATAAAATTTTAGAATATATTAATTATATTTTAGATAATTTTAGAATATATTAATTGATATTATTATTAGAATAAATTTTAGATATCAACCATTAGTTTAAGGTAAATATATATGAACAGTGATAAATTATATTTTTATTAGCATGGAGATGGAGTTTCCACAGCATGATCCAACTGTATCATGCTTAAAGAAGAAGTTGAATATGAATATATAAAATTTATGAAGCCAATGATAAAGGACAGAAAAGCTACTGACAATTTTAGTCCTAAAGAAACTACACCAAAGACTACTGGTTCAAAAATAAATGCACTCATGGGTGAAAGACTTTTGGCTCTTTTGGAAAGGGTGCCATCTGAAAGCCAGTAAAATATATTTTTTTATCTATAAATTTAATATTATTTTAGATTGTACCTACAATCAATAGCAGAAGGCTTGGAAAGTATGAGCCATTCAATAAATACTTTTTCAATTGTGAAGTATTAAGATTGTATCATACATTGATGGAGCAATCAAAGGATCAAAATCTATTGAATTATCACCAACAAATTCAACAGAAAAAACTTTAAATCTAACATTAAATAAATTTTATAGTGTGTTTATTTTTGTAAATATGTTTATTTATATATAATAAAGTAATATTCCATATTATAGTGTCCATTTTTGAAAAATATATATTAATAAGCAAACTATTCAAAATTTATTTAGCATTTTTAATAAAATATATAGATTATTATAAATATATTAAGGTAGGATAAACAAATAAATATTATAATAATCAAATTATGAAAATGAGATTGAGTAAACAGTTATAAAAATCCAATAAATAAAAATATCAGGAGTAACATGATTGGAAGAAGTTAAAATTAAAATCTAATAGTGTATATATATTATAAATTTTGACATAATAATTAATTATTGAAATCAAAATTTGAAGCCTTTCTAGGATTTTAATTCATTGACATATAATTTAGCCAATATTATCTTTAGAAATTAAATAAAATATTATGTATATAAACAGAATAATAGTCTTTGATTTTTTAAGATATTGACTATTTATATCTTACTATGTTTTATTGAGCTAACAATATTTTATTTTGACATCATCTTATGTGATTATAATAAAAAAATTCAAAAACCAATTAAATAAAATTGGGCAAGATGGTATGATTATATTATTTTAATAAGATATTTAATATTCTTACATGTTCTAGTGTACATTTTTATTATTAAAGAATTGAAAATGTAATTAATTATTTTATTTGCATTATTTGTAAATTATAATGATCTCCTCATCCTTGTATAATTAAAATTAGCAATTAGTTGTTTATCTTGTAAACTAAAGAAATCAATATTGTTTAATAAAAATTAAATCACGTTTCAACTTTAAAACAAAAAAACGACTGCTTTCAATTTAAACAAAGATGCGTTGCGTTAAAAAACGTACTGCAAACGCTCAATTTGTGCCCACTATTATGTCCTTGAATCAAAATGATAATTTTGTTTATGCTATTCAACCAAAAATTATATGTATATTTAATATTAACAAATAAAATATTTAATCATATCTTAATAATGCGTTTAGTATTGCATTGAAAGTAAAAACCGGTTTATTTTTTATATTGGGTAGTATATTTAAAATTTTGTCAAAGTCCTACTCCAGATCAAATTTAAAAATTTTAATCAAGGTTTAATAATTAGATTAATTAAAATTTTTATATTATATAAATTAGAATATGTGTAGCAGACATGTTTGAAAAATGACTTAAGCCACAATTTTTATTGGAAAAATCAGGCATTTGCTGGTTGATAAAAAGCTTGGCCCCATAATCGTTATTTTTAAAGTTTTTTAACGTATATAGGCTAAAATAAGTGTTGTTAACTTGTTTAAATAAAACTTCAGTGAAGATGTACCTACAAGTGACAATTGTCATAATTATTATTTTTAAAGATTTTGAATTTTTTGACCCAAATGGGTAAAAATATAGATTGCAAAAGTGTCATATTAAATCATGAAGATGTACCATAAGAAAGTGACAATTGTCATAATCGTTATTTTTAAACATTTCCTAATATTTGAGAAATCATTCTAAAAAAGATATTGTGTTTAAATTTTATTGAAATAATCAGAAAAGTCCCAATTATCACAATCTTCGTTCTTTAAATTTCTTATTTTTTGAGAAATGTGTTGGTACCATTTGGCGAAACAAAAAAACAAATGGTAATTTTCATGCTCATAATCATCCTTTTCATCCTGCTTAAAATTTGATAAAAATATGCAAAGTAATTACTAAAGAGGGTTGTAACTCATGTTAAATTCTAAACTATTAAGATATGGATTCTCAATCTTTTTCCTTTAATTAATAAATTTTAAATCTACATCTATTAAAATGTATAACCCTGCATTCACAGTTAGCAAAAAATTTTGTATACTTAGGGCGAAATCGTGCTGAGTCTGAATTCAGGGTAAGATTTTTATTAAAAGAACTTAAAAACCATATGAATAGTAATTATCAATATATACAATCAACATCCTATAAATTTTGTCTTAAGATTTTGAATTTTATATATAATAAAAATAATATTATAATAGCAGCATATCATTTTTTTTTATTAAAAAACATCAAATAAATAAATCTATTTTCATAATATTTTCATTTCATAATATAATAATTTAATTAAAAAATATTAAATCATAAAATGTTTATTTGTTGATAATAATAAAATATTAACATTGAATATAAATAAAATAAATTATTTTAATAAAAATAAATAATAATAATTAATGCTATGCATATCTACAGAAAATTAGCAGATGCAGAATTTTTGCCTAATTTACTTTTAGCCGATTTTTAAGCTAATATTAAACGTAGTTTTTAGCCGATTACGCAACACCATCTGAGAATGGTGTTGCGTAATATTAAATGTTTCCAACTTAGTAATTTATTTAACTTAATTTAAATTTTTTTTAAATTTGGCCTAGCCCAGGTTTTGTAATAAAAAAATTAAGCCTAGCCCCAATTTTTAAAATCACCCATTGTTTTTATAGGCCTAGTTCAGGGCCTGCTGAACCTCTGAAAAAATCAAAAAATTTAAGTCAACCTATTTTTAATATTTTGCAATAATATAGTTGGATAATAATAGGGTATTTCTCCATTTTTGCAGTTTTAGACAGCTAATAAGTCGTTATGCCAAATTGTGTAGCCCCATCAACTTAATCTCAGGAAATACAGCCCAACTTTGGTGAAAGCTGAAATAAATTAACTTGTGCCAACTGTTTAATGAATTTTCGTTGGCATGTGCCTGTAGATTGAGGTGATTTTTGTCAAATACAAACTAAGATTGGCAAAATAAATTAGAAAAAAATATTTCCTGCTATTTAAAATTTTATAAAAATTTAAATATATAAATATCAAATCTAAGGTTAAGAAATTATACCAGAGCAAAATTTGGCCAGTATTGTCACCTGTAGCAACGCTAAGAGATATTGGATGGCTAGCTATACAAGTAAAGATTCGGTTGCTTCCTATCATATGACTGATAATTTGAATCATGATTATTAATATAATGAAGAAGAAAAAGGTAAGTAATAAAAATTTCTTAAATGAATTATCGAACAAACAATATTCTTTAGAGATTAATGGGAGGATATCTTAGAGGTCTGCATTAGGCGGGGTAAATTTTTTTAAGAACAAGTAGGTGGGTGGGTGGTTTAAAAAAATTTGAAACTATGGGCGGGTTAAGAAATTTAAACATGAAAATTTTAAATCATTAAGTAAATATTAATAAAAATTAAAATGTCCTTTTTGGTATCATAAAAAAAATTTTCTTAAAATAAATAAACATTTTTGTATATTTGAAACTACTTTGGTAGAAACGACAAGAGATTTGCCAAAGCTATCAAAATTAGCAAGAAAAATATTGGCAATTCCTGCATTAATGCTTCTTATGAACAAAGATTGCTGGAAGGTTTTTAGAACAAAGAAGAACGTGTTTAAATCCAGAATTTGATTCATTATTATTTTTGCATTATAATTACATACAATAACAATTTTATATTTTTTTATAAATATATATTTGATCAAATTAGATTATCTGATTTTTTATGCTTAATATAGTAATTTCCTAAATTATAACTTTTAGTAGAGGTGTAATGCTGAAATTTTTTTATTAGATGCTTAAAAAATTGAAAGAATGGCCATAATTAAATGTTATAATAGCAGGCTTATTAAAAAATTTTAAATAATAATGGGTAGGTGGGTAAAAAATTTTAGACTGGGTGGGCAGATAGGTAAGGAATTTTAGACTTATGGGTGGGTGGGCAGGTTAAATTTTTTTTAACATTGGGTGGGCAGGCTTATGGTCCAAAAACCTGCCCAATGCAGACCTCTAGGACATCTTATACAAAATATATTTTATAGGTCAGGCTGTGTAAAAATAATAATGAATTAAGGGTAGAAACCCCCAATATAAAATTTTCAGGCTGGTTCAGGCTGGGATGACCTCTAATATTCATATTAATAGAATTTTTATATTTAAAATTATAATATAATTAAGAGATTTATTTTAAAGTCAATTTTAGCATTAGAGATTGGCATGGCCCAAATTGAACAATTACATAGAAAAAATTATGTTTTTTGACTTGGTCCAGCTGCTTAATAATTTGTACAAGTTATCTATCCAAGAACATAATAATTGAATTAAAGAAGGGTTATAATTTATATTTATTTAATTCAAAAATTTTGTGATCCATTTGCAAAATATTTTCAAGTTGTCTGGTCCAGCCCTAAAAAAAAATTTCCCCAGATAGTGGTCCAGTCTTGGCCAACCCCTAATTAGCAAAAATTATTAAACCCTATAATTTTGGGTTTTGACATTTCTTCTAAATTGATCATGTATACTTTCATAATATTTTCCATAATAGCAGCAACAAAAAGCTATAGCAATTATATAAATATGACAATTTATTATTAATTACATTGAGGGGATGAAATGTTATATAATTAGGTTTACTGTAAATTTCATAAATAATTATATTTGTTTTATTATGCTTTGGGTATTCATCTAAACAGTTGTCATTGGGATCTTTAAATACTGGATATTTGATGTAGGCTAAATCAAATTTTAATGAGTCATCTAATATTATAAATAATAAAAAATTTATATAATCTTTAATTAACTTTTATTAGGTATAATAAGGTAAATATAGTTGGATGATATATGAAATAACTCAATTCCTTCAATATGAGATTCAAAATTCTATACAAAATTATTATTTTTATATAATATAAAAATATACTTTTATTTTTTTCCCATTTGTATAATTCCATAAGGATATATTACCAATATTACTAATTGTCATGATCTTAGGCAAATAATTAAATACATCAATAAAGGAAATTTACTTGAAGCTTATATTTAATATATAGAGCTGAACCAATAAAATATTCATCATAAACTGAATATCTTTTTTCTTTGAAATTTAAATTAGGTCGTATGGTGCCAAGACACTTTCCTGTGTTAATGCTATATATGTTTATCTTATATTTTGACGTTAAAATTAAATATCTATAAAAAATAAGTTTTTATATTTTTACAATTTTATATCAAACTTGCAATCGTAAGTAAAGAATGGATTTATGTCTATGTAGCTTACCCCGCTTACTATTTGATATTGATAAGAAATTTTCTTCATATCATGCTCACTAAATTAGTTTTAAGTATAATAAAAAATCATAATGATACCTGTCAATATCATGTCTGATAATTATAGTTAAATAATAGATAAAAATTGATTATTGTTCCAAAAAAAATCTGCTATGCATTGAGATGCTAGTAAAATTATTTATTTCAATAAAATCAACTGAAACTAAAGTGCAAGCACTTCGTTAGGCTTTTTAAAAAGTAGGCTCTACAAAATGCTTATTTTTTTATTTTTTATAAGTCGAAAAATATAAAATGTACTAATGGGTTTGTTCCTAATAGTTACTATATTGTACTTTCGGTATATATATATAATTGTCTCTATTATAATTTCTAGAGCATGATGGAAATGCACATTGAGATTCAAGTTTAATGGGCAAGCATTCAGTTCATATAAAGCTAAAATAGCTCATAAACCATAGGCGTAGCCAGAGGGAGGGACAAGGGGAAATTCCCCCCCCTCCAGAAATTAATCACTTTTTGTAAATATCATTTTTAGCTAATAAAAAATATCCCCCTTAGTCCTCCCCCCACTCCCTGACCCTCAAATATGTATGCATATATCTTAAATAATAATTTAAAAGAAAGAATGTAAAAGTTGATATTTTTTTTATAAAACTATTCATCATAATATATAGATTTTTAGGAAAATAAATTTATAAATATATAAAATGAACCAAAAATGTTTTTTAATAAATGAAATATAAGCCAAAGATAAGTCTTAAGACAGAAGTGAAATGTATTATAATTATTAATAATAGATCCATAAATTACTAAATAATATATTATATCAAATATAATTTTTTATAAAGTGAGTAATTTTAATTTATTTATCTTAATAAAAGTAAAATATAATTATAAAACTATTGATAAAATTAAATCATAACAGTGGAATATTATATGTCGTAGATTTACAGTATATATATAATTATCAAATGACAATCAAGTAATTTTTACCAATATAGCGAATTATATATTTTACAGAAAACTATAAAATATTGATAAGGACATCAGAAAATATCTTTTAAAGACATTGTGGGATGAATAATATGAAGATTAAATTTAAATATTAATTTTACTTAAAATAAATAGATGGCGTTAAATAATTGAATGCAAATTGTTGATATATTTAATATCAAGAGCATTGAATAGTAAAATTTGTTAAATTATTAACTGTAATATATTCTCTAACTGTCAAATATGTTTGTAAAAGTGGAGTTTTACCTAGTATTTTATAACTAATTCTATATAATAGAGTAAAATCAACTATATGTCTACTTACTATTTATAAATAAATTTCTTATAATTGTTTGGAATAAATGCTTTTATATTAAGGTAATATACAATACAAGTAATTTATTATATTTTTATTTTATATAAACAAATAAAAATTAATTTCATATTTGTTCCAGGCTTATTTTTTTTATTAAAATTTGTAAAAAATATTTTATGACTATATAAAAACTAAAGTAACCCGGCCGAATGCCGCGGAAAAGCGGGCCGAAGGCTCGCCCAAAGAAGGTCTGGGGGCGAAGCCCCCAGTTTTTAATTTCCCCCCCCCCCTTATGAAAATCCTGGCTACGCCTATGTCATAAACATTCCCTTTCATGCAACAATTATAACAACATTAGCAATATAGAAGAAAAATGTCATATTTTATTCGGCCAACATTGTATACCAAAAGATCATGCATTAACATTTTGGGGAAAAAGTAACTGTAACTTCCTCTTGCCAACTAGGAAGGTTTTGACAACTACTACAATAAACCTAGCGAAAATTTTCCATTGCTGGATTAATAGTAATGCAAAAAGGACTTCTTTATTCACATGAATCTTGATAAAAGACTATTTATTCATGACTATTATATATTACATCCAGGCGCGTACGCAGCGGGGGGGACAGGGGGACAAATCCCCCCCCCCCAAGCCAAAAAATGCAGATGCCGGATTATATTTTTCAAAAATATTATTGTTAATATTAATTTATATTTGTTAATATTTATTCTTATCTCATATATACACACATATATATATATATATATTATTTATCACATTCATCTACTAAGTTATTTTATCAATCAATTTCGATTTCAAGTTTTCCTTGGCGTAATTTACCTATTATTTTCAAATTTTAGTGGCGTAATATTTATCTAAATTTCTAATAAAATAATAATTATCTCTGAAACTCTTTGTCCAACAGGGAGAAAAAAATTGCAAGCTTGTCCAACGAGATCGAGTCTCTGCCACAGTAACAGCTATTTTGGAGTTAGAAGAGCTGATTATTAATGCTATTACTGAAATATCACAATGGCTTGAAAGAAATATTTCCTCAGAAGCAAGAAAAATATTGGATTTAATACTTATTCCAAATTTTTTTTCTCATTAGAATGTATTATTTAATTATACAACTATTTTATGTAATACTTTTAAAAACATAACATTGACTTGATTAAGAAGATGAGAATAGCGGAGAGCATTTTATTAGAACTCAAGGAAATAGAGCTAGTGTTGTTGAAGAATTTCATATTTTATATGTTATTGTTGAGTCAAAAGCAGAGCTATACGTGTTAAATATTTGTCCCCCTCGACTTGCAGCAAGCAAGCTCATCATCAAAACATTAATATAGCATCAGTAGAAGAGTATTATAAAACAAATGTCCCCTCTCCCAACCTTTTTCATATGGTGATAGAAAAAAAATATAAATATTTGTTATATTTTTATCATGAAGATGTTAAAATATCTTATGATGCCTTATTAGCTGAATAACTATGATTAAAAGATTAACTATGGTTGATACAGTCCCAAAAAATGCTATGGATGCTTTTTATTTCAAACACATTTTGATTATACTCCCAATTATTAAAATGGTTATATATATATTAGCAGCTCTTTAGTAAACTAATGAGAGAACATTCACTTTTTTAAGAAGAATAACAGAGCCTTGCAGAGGTACCATTTGCAGGACCAGGCCCAGATTTTATTTTAAAATTTTTTCCGGCCCGGTTTTTTTTTTAAAAAAATTTTCAGGCCCGGCCTGGCTGGCTTAGCCCGAATTTTTTAAAATAAATTATATTTATTTTTGATATTTATAGCTAATAATGGCGATTTCAAATATTTGGTTTTAAAATATACAACTCGGCTCGGATATTTTTTCTTAAAAAATTTTCAGGCCCAGCCCGGGTGTTTTAAAAAAAAATTACGAACCCGGCCCGGGTATATTTAAAAAAATTAAAACGGTCCGGCTCAGGGGCCGGGCCTGCAAGTCTGTGAAAAACATACCTATGAAATACAACATCTGAAAGTAGATTGAATGATTTGGATCTTTTGAATATTCATAGACATTTAACGCCAAGCAAGGATTGATAATTGAAAAATTAGCTCAAAACATACAAAATACAATTATTCCTAAGAAACTTTTTATGTATTAATTTATATTTACAACATTTAAATTTTTTATACTTTATATATTTTAAAAGCTCAAAAAATTCAAATTTCAATTTTGGGTCGTTTAGGTGATTCATATCGTGGGTTATATTCACTTTATATTTTATGATTCACATTTAAATGCCGGTTTATATATATAATTTTTTTAATTCACATTAGTTTAAAATTGTGTATTATAAAAGTTATTAATCCTAATAAATTTATGCTTAGTATTTTTAATTAAAAATATTATTTCTTAAAAAAATTTATTATCCCCCCCCAGACCAAATTCCTGCGTACGCGCCTGATTACATCTGATTTCTAATTTATTTCTTAGATTTTGTTTGCATTTCAAATTTATATTTTAATTTGTTATTGTTACATAATATCAGGGTTGGGCAAATTTTCAGAAAATTGTATCCGGATACAGATACAGATACTTTATAAAATTTTGTATTTAAGATACAAAATATTAGATACTTTAGAAAAATTTTAAATAGATATAAGATACAAGATACTTGTATTTTTTTTAAAAAAAAGTATCTAAGATACAAGATACTTTTTTAAAAAACTTTAAATAGTCAAAATAAAAATGTACAAAGCTTTATTTTCTTATCTATAATATAAATTTATAAAAAAATATTTAAAATAATATGTAGAAGATAACAAATTTCTATAAAAGATAATGCGATATTGCATTTAATAATTATATAATTAGTAAATAATAATAAATCAGCATCATAAATCAGCATTATTTTTTATTATTAATTTTTCGTTCAATCTTTGACGATTTGGTCTATTAACCATATTAGCAAAGCTAAATAATCTTTCAAAGGGGGCTGAGGAGGGTAATATTGTGTTATATTTAATAAATATTTCTTTTATATGTTTATAACTATTTAACATATTTATACTCCGCCTGTCATTTTTCATATAATTTAGGACTTCTATTTCAATATCATTTATTGAATTATTAGAATTGGATGTGGTACTTTTAAGGCAAAAGTTCATCATCTTCATCAATTGAAGATTTTGTTGAAGTATTAATTTCAATATTATTTTTAAAAACAATTAAAACTTCATGTAATAACAAATCCTGAAGGTATTTTTTTTCTTTTTCACCATCAATCCAACGATTTTTAAAATAGGGATGAGATATAGTTGCCAAAAATGCACTCTTAAAATTGTTATCAAATCATATATATTTTTATTCCTTTTATTTAAATAATTTTCTATGGCAACAGCTAATGGTTTGCAAAATTGTATATTGGTTTGAATTAAATTTGTAATTTTTTTTAACGACATTTAAAATTGGAGCTAATTCTCCATAATAGCAGTTGATTTCACTCTGTATTTTGTCAATCGCTATAGCCAATGGGGCCATTATATTGCAATATTCTTCTAAATATTGAATTTCCATATCTCTTTATTTAGGAAATTCTAATTTTTGACATAATTTAGGAAGTTCGCCTTTAAATTTTAATAAACTATGAAGACTATCATACTAACTATTCCATATAGTGCAACAAGGTGTAAGTAATTGTTTTCCTAAAACTGCTTTGATAAGTTCTGCAGTTTTAGG